AGACAGAAAAGAACTGTCCATAGGGTTTCCAAGACTGTAAGTCTTTAGAGAAGAGATTGCCACATCTTTCTCTCATGGAGCAAGTGGTGAGTTCAAATCGCCAACCTGTGAGTTAGCAGTCAAAGACTTTAACCACTGTACCACCAGGGCTCCTTAATGGTAAAATGGATAAAAATTTAAAGAAGGCAACAACCACCACTTCATTTAATAATGTTTATGGTTTCATAATGAGATTAGTCTGGGGAGGACGGTATTACAATGTTGATGTTAAGAGAAACACTGATAGCTTCTTAAAAGTTTAAGGGAGGTTGTGATAATATAACAACAAACACCTATCTAGCACTTACTATTTACCAGTGTCTTAAGCACTTCACATATATTAACTGACTTAATCCTCATAACAGTGTGAGCTCACTATTGTTATCCCTGTTTTACAAGAGAAACCTAAGTTACAGAAACATACTTAAAAATTATCCAAAATCATACTAATAAAAAAGGCAAAGCCAGGATTTGAATCCAAATAATCTGATTCCAAGCCCACCTGGTACAGTGGTTAAGCAGCTCAACTGATAATAAAAGGTTGGCAGTTCAAACCCACCAGGCACAAAGAATGATGTGACAGTCTGTTTCTGGAAAGATCTACAGCCTTGGAAACTATGGAGCAGTTCTACTCTGTCTTGTAGGGTCACTATGAGTCGGAACTGCCTCAACAGCAGTAGGTTTTCTGGTTTTTAATCTGGTCTAGAGTCCACACTTTTAACTTCTATAGTAACAGCACATTTCTCAAGAACACAGCAGCAGAATTAAAAGAGCAAATGGAAATAAAAAGCTTACTTTAGAGAAGAGGATGCATATGAAGACAGAGAGCAACACAGCCTAAATCAGAGGTTCTCTTTAGGTAATGCAGCACTTAGAAACTTTGCTGGTTGGTGGACACCATGACTTAACAATATATATTTTTTGCTATATTAAAAACTGTTTTGGAGTTTAGCATAATAGCTAGTGCCAACTACTTGAGAAAAAATATATTTTTCTAAAATTGAAAGGAGGGACACCATTTTGGTGGTGAAACACCTGGCTTTCACTCATGGAATAAACTGTTGGAGAAGCAATGTCCCAGGGGTAACAAGTGAAGAAGAGTTTGACACCCAAGATTTATAATAACAGCAATGGCAGACATAGCTGAAACAACAAGCAATAAAAATTACTTTAGCAAAAACATTTTGGACTGAAAGGATGAGTAACTAAAATTAGAAACCGGTAAGGGTCAAAGCACAACATGACTAGGAATGTGATACCTTAGAGGGGAAGAAGTGGCAGAAAATAAACTGCTACTTGCAAACAAAGAAACAGAGGACAAAAAGGAAACAAACATTAAATCTGTGTAATTTTTAGGAGAATAAGGGAATTAGTCATCAGAAAAGATTTTCTAAGTGATGGTAAATTGTCCAGATAAAGAAGCTGCAGAAGAGATTAGACTAAACAGAGAGAGAAAGCCAAGCAAGGGTAGATTAGTAACCTCACTTCAATGAGCCCAAATATGGATAGAGCTGACCAAGCAGAAGAGTCTTGGGAAACATAATACAAAGGCTTATGGAATATACAGAAAATGTTAACCCTGAGAGAGTATCAAATTCATTTGACAAATATTTCTTGAGATTTCCTTTGTGACTGGCACTATTCTAGGTGCTAGGGAGTAACTGCGCCACTCCAAAGCCCTGCCCTCATAGAACTTACATGCTAGTGGGAAAGACTAACAACAGATATATTTAGAAGAGAAAACTGAATAAGGCATTATCATACAAGCCCAGGATAGAACCCACTACAAAAAGGAGGATCCATATATGATAAATAAAGTAACACAGTATTACTCCCTGTTGCCCGAAAAGCCCTGTGGCCTACTCATCAGATGTTCCTCATCACTCTCAAAAAAGACTCTAAAATACAGATACATTTACAAATGTATCTATAAATTAAACCGTAACTTATTTTACTTCCAAGAATGCCTATCAATACAACTCCCCAGATAAGCACAGTAAATTGCCTATGTTTTCCAAATTTGACAGCTCTGGGATCTAAACTTTTTATTGGTATAACCATTTTTAAAAACAATGACAGTCTCTAATAGTACAAGTGGACTGAGAGACAACTATTGGTCTTTACTCATCTGGAACAACAAAGAATGAAGGAAACCAAAGAAAGACTCAAGGAAGAAACTAGTCCACAGGACTAAGAGCCCATGTGAACCATGGTTTATAGCATGAGACCAGAAAACTAGACGGTGCCCAGCTACCATTCCCTGACCCACCACTCTGACCAGGGACACAATGAAAGGTCCCAGATAGAAAGGGAGAAAAATGTAGAACAAATCTCAAATTCCAAAAAAGGCGAGACTTAACTGGACTGATAAAAACTACAGGAAACCCAAAGACTATTCTCCTAAGATACCCTTTGAACTTGGAAGTGAGACCACTCCCAGTGGTAACCTTTTGTCCAAACAATAGACAGGCTTATAAAATAAACAGTATCACCTGTCAATACTGTGCTCCCTTAAATAATCAAATGCATGAGACTAAACAGTCAACATTTACCCTAAAATAAAGATGAGAAGCTAAGGGGCAAGGAAGCTAGGTTATGGGAAACAGAACAAAGAAAGTGGAAATAATGACACTGTGTAACCCATGTCATGGAACAATTTATATAAAAGTTGTTAAATGAGAACCTAATTTCCTATGTAAATGTTCATCTAAAACACAACAAAATATTTTTAAAAATACAAGTGGAAAGGCATCCCAACAAAGGAAAACAAACCCTTAATTTACACACACAAAAAAAAATTCAGGATTTGATCTTCGTAGGCTTTAAGAATCTCACTGATTTTTGTTTTAAGCCCCCTGACAACTCTAGGCTGTATACTTGCCTAAGATTCCAAAAAAGAAAACAGAAATTTGACTGCGCACAAGTGTTGGTTATTATTACATGAAACATTTCAGGGATACTATGACGATGTTTTAAGAAATCACTGGAAAAGAGCTCACTTTCAATACTCTATTACCAATCTTTTCTCAGTCTAAATATTGTAAATTCAAACTATTCTACTATATTTTTGAAAGACGTGAACTGATAGACTTCTTAAATATAGAAGACTCAAGAAATAAGCAGTACATAAATGTGTCATTTTTATACTCCTGAAACAAGCTATCACTTTAAGGCCAACAAATGTTATGTCAGAAGATTCATGTGCCATACCTATCTGCAAAATCCACACACTGGAAAGAGCTCATTTAAACCTACCATTTCTTTTAAGTGTTTTATAACAAGTAAACTGTTCTTCCTATACAAATGAGAAACAATAGAAAAGTACTTGTTGCAACATGAACTACCCTTATTAACAATGCGATTCATTACACAATTGGATCTCATTTGTTTTATAATGCTAACATTTTCTGTTCTACTGAACTCTATAAGGAAGGATATAAAATTTATCATGTACCTCGCATTCTTGGGGACAAAAACTTGTGATCTCAAAAGCCTACAAATATCACTCATTTATTTTATTTGTTAAAAATCCAAACTAGTCTTTAATGCCCAGCAAGTAAAACTGATCCTCTTATCACATCATTGCCACAAAAAGAGCAAGTGAAGTAAAATTTAGGTAAGTACTTTGCAACCAGTAAATACATAGAATAAGTCAATTAGTCTGGCTAATTTACTTCGGGGCCCCCAAAAAAACAAAACTGGACCCACAAATACAGTCAAGGGGATCTTTGAAGTCACAGCCTACGCAAATGGCTACAGAGGGTATTGTGCTATGCTTCATTCTCTGTCACAACATAATCTTGAGATTTTAAACCTTCTTTTAGATGCAGCTAAAGGTGGCTATAAAACCGAGTAACAGGATTTCAAAAAATGATCTCTGAATATGATACGTCGGGAAGCGGGCAGGATAAGTCACTGGGTGAACGACTAAAGCTGAAAAACATGTCTTATCTGGCAAGTCCCTGACTTGTAGGAGTTAAAACTCTCACCCCTTATACTGCGATGACGTAATCTTGCACACTATATTTCTCTAGGATTTAAAAGGGAAGAAAAAAACAAACGAACAAAGAAAATTTCCCCTTAGTAAGAGAAATTAAGGAAACGGCGGAACGACGGTTTCGAGAGGTGGTTAGGTAACTCCCTGAAGGGGAAGCTTCAGCTGAATAAACTGGGAGAGCGTTAGATGTTGGAGAAGCAAACGGAAATGGTATTAGGAACTCAACCCAAAGCAGGAAAAGATACCGGAGAAAGGGAGATCAGACCCACCCTGCTCGGATGAACCGTCGAGCTGGGAGACCAGGGCGGGAAGGGCGTCTCAGGCACAGCCCGAGACAGTCAGCAAGCAGCCCCCTCCTCGGCCACCACTTCCCCGCCGCGGTCGCAAAGCTGATCCCCTCCCCCCGCCCACTGCAAAATGTCCGCGGCGGCGCCCGGCAAAGCAGGAAGTCGGAGCCAAAGCACAGTGGGTAGCACCTAGCCTTGGAGGCCCGGTGACCGACACTTCCTCCACCTCAGGCACCCACGAGCAGCTCCGCAGCCCGGGGCCCAAGACTCCAAAGCCAGGCCCCCAGCCCTCCGGAGACCACGGGGGTCGGGTCGGAGGGGGAGGGGAGCCCGGGCGGTCTGGATGGGTGTGACCCTTTCCTTCCGCCGCTGCCCGGTGACAGCCCGACCGCGCCCTCCAGCCAGCACCCCGGGCCCCGACCCCGTGCCTCGTTGCGGGCTTGCATCCCGCCTTCCTTATCACGACTCCCTCCCCTTGTTCCCCTTCAGAACCCGGACCCGCGCTCGCCTGGAGGGCGCAGCACGAGCCGGGCACTCCCCCACATTCCGCGCTCCCAGGCGTCACAGGGTCCCACAGATCAGGTGTCCCCGAGGACGGGGAGAGGCTGGGGGCGACATGGTGGGGACTGGGCAACAGGGGAGTCGCTCTCGCGGGGAGCCTCAGGCCCCACACTCACCTCAGCTTCTCCGCCGGGGCGTTGGCAGCACTGCTCGGGGTCTCCTCGACTGCCGGACAGGGGCACGCACCTGACGTCAGCACGCAGGGGACGTACGGTTGGGTGCCCGCGGAAGTAGAATAATGGGGAGGGGCGGAAGAGGCTGAGACGGTTCGAGGCGGAGCCTGAATTCCTCGCCAGCCTCGGCGGCGTTAAGGGGATGCAGCACGCGCAAGGCTTGCCTGCCTCAAGTGTTCAGGGTTCTCCTCACGTCTTTTCTCAATGATTATCGTTGTCATAAGACTAGAAACAAATTTGCAAAGCACTCTAAAAAGATTTCTTTTGATGTTTGCAACCCTGGGAAGCAAAGTAGCATCGTCCCTATTAAATACTTCTTTGAGACGGGCAGTGGCTTGCCTGAAATCACACAGCAAGTGGGTGACCTACTGACTCTCCAAGTCAGTATTCAATCTGATGTGGCATGAGAGCTACCTACGCTCCACTGTCCCTCGCTTCAGCCACAAGTCTAAGATAGACTCCCCCCCAAGATCTTGCACTTATAGTTGGTTGACTTTTCATCCGTCAAATGTCACCGCCTTCTCTGATCATCCTATGCTCACAGCACCTGCTTATTATGCCGCCACTAAAAGTATGCAGGCTCCAGAAGAACTGGGAGAACACGAGGAGCCTTCTGTCTTCTTATCAGATGTTTCTCTGTTCAGAGAAAAATAATAGTTGAGGAGCTCTGGTAGCATAGTGCCTAAGGCACTTGATTGCTAACCAGAAGGCTGGCGATTCAAACCCACCAGCTACTCCTCCGAAGGGAAGGTGGGACAATCTACTTCCGTAGTGATACCTCCTCGGAAACCCAAGGAGGGGTCGCTATGAGTCGGTCCCACTCCACGGCATATAACAACAACAACAATAATAGTTGAGGAGCTCTGTAGCATAGTGCCTAAGGCATTTGACCGCTAACCAGAAGGCTGGCGGTTAATGTATTGCTTACTACCACAGCCATGGTATTTTCAATCACCTCATATGCACGTGAGAGCTGGACAAAGAATAAAGAAGACTACAGAAGAACTGATGCGTTTGAATTGTGTTAGCAAAGAATATTGAATGTACCATGGGCTGCTAGAAAAACAAACAAACTGTCTTGGAAGAAGTACAGCCGGAATGCTCCTTAAAAGTGAGAATGGCCAAACTTCATCTCTCCTACTTTGGTCATGTTGTCAGAAGGGATCATTCCCTGGAGAATATCATGCTTGGTAAAGTAGAGGGTTAACGAAGGAAGACCCTCAACCAGATGGATTGGCACAGTGGCTGCAAGGATGGGCTCAAGCATTACCACAACTGTGAGGATGGCACAGGACCCAGTAATGTTTCTTGTACACAGGGTTCCTAAAAGTTGGAACCGACTCCACAGCACCCAACGACAACAAAAAACAGGTAACAAAATTCAAGTATATTTCGTTTAATAGTCGTATTTTCTCTTGCACTTTTTAATTCCACAAAGAATAACCACATTGTTCAGTGTTTACTTACTATAAGCATGGTGCTGACAACTCTGCATGTAACTAATTCTCAGAACCATCCTATGAGGTGAGAACTATTATCACTATCTTATGATGAGTGAACTGAAGCTCAGACGTGTTAGGAAACTTGACAAAGGTCATCCAGCCAGGCAGTGGCAGAGTGGAGACTTGGACCCAAAAGGCTGGCTCTAATTTGACCACTAACTGTGGAAGGCTGAAGTAGAAGGCGGAACTGGCCCCTCACTGAAAATTACAGCACTTTAACAGACTAGCAGGTACAATTAAAGTAGACATTCATCATAGTGACTAACTTGCTATTTTTCCCTCCCTTTTGCTCTCTTTTAAGTAAATAGAATATCCAAACTCTTTACAGATACTGAGTTCTTTAGATTTGTTATTTTCAATGATGTATTCTTCTGAGCATAACCCTCTCCCACGACTGGTTTCAGCTGAGAACCGTAACCTATGAAGCAAGACAAGCCTGGGAAGAGGGATGCTGAGTCAGGAGTAACCAAGGAAGAGAAGAACAAAGACATTCCTGGCCATCCAAGGGATCTTCAACCCCCTTCCCATTTCCCTATATAATCACGTTTACCCCTTTGCTCCAGGAGACGTACATTGTAGAGAAGTGATTCTCTCTGTCTCCTTGGGTATCGATACTCAATAAACCTTTTGCTTTCCCGCTTTAACCTGTTGTGATCATTGGCTCTTCACAACATGGGGTAAGGATCTTTTTTTCCTACTACGTAACTATCCTACTATCTATCAGGTTTACTGTAGAGAAATCGGAAGATAAGCTTCAGCTGTAGTCCTAGACTCAAGGACAACAGCTGTTAACATTTTGCTGAGTACTTTTTCAAACTTTTTTCTGTGTGTATGTACATTTAAGGAACTCTGGTGGTGCCGTAGTTAAATACTCTGCTGCTAACCACTAGGTTGGCAGTTTGAACCCACCAGCTGCTCTGCTGGAGAAAGCTATGACAGTCTGCTCCTGTGAAGATTTACAGCCTTGGAAACCCTATGGAGCAGTTCTTCTCTGTCCTAAAGGGTCACTATGGATTGCTATGAGTTGGAATCGACTCAGCAGCAATGGGTTTGGTTTGGCTTTGGTTTATATATACATTTATTTTACAAAAATAAACTTGTGACCTACTTTTCTCTCTGCAAACATGATGAACATCTTTCCGTGTCAAATAAAGCAACATTTATAAAGGCTGTGTTCTACTATAACCGAAACCAAACCAAACTCACTGCCATCAAGTCGATTCCAACTCATAGCAACCCCCACTGGGTTTCCAAGGCTATAAATCTTTATAGAAGCAGACTGCCTCATCTTTCTTCGTGGAGGAGCTGGTGGGTTTGAACCACTGACCTTTTGGTCAGCAGCCAAATGCCTTCACCTCCGCACCACCAGAGCTCCTTATGTTCTACTATATGGGTATTATAATAGTTACCAATCTCCTATTGTTGAAGATTTAGGTTGCTTTTGGCTATTTGTAAATTTTTTTAATTTGTAAAATTTTTTTGACTATTGTGAAAATACATAAGCTTAGTTTCTACACCTTGGACACTGGTTGTGTTTTCTCCATCTGCAAAAACAGTTTGCAATGACCTTTCCTTCGTCCTGTCTCACAATCCCATGAATGTCCCCAGACAATGTCTGCCCTTTCCACAGCAGCAATATCTTGATGGAGTGTCACCCAACTACTGGATTTTTCCTGCCTTTATTCTGAGGAGGACAAGGACTCACTTAGCACTTTGTCTATTATGTTGTCAGATTTTTGTCAGAAGGGCCCTCCCAGACCTTTTCACAGCTCCAAATGGCAGTGGCATCACGTCACAACTTGACCCCAGTCTACCCCATCCCCTGCTGCAGGCAAAGCCTCCTAGTGCCCCCTCCTGCCCCACTAGTTATAAAAAAAAAAAAAAAAAAAAACTCACTGCCTTCAAGTCAATTCTGATTTACAGCGACCCCTTCTTGGGTTTCTGAGACGGTATCTCTAAGGCCGTAGATTGCCCAATCTTCCTTCAGAGGAAAGGCTGGTGGGTTTGAACCTCCAGTCTTCTGGTTAGCAGTCAAATGCCTTAGGCACTATGCCTAAGAGATCCACTAGCTCTAGCTACCTCATATTAACAGGAGAATCAGCCTCAGAGAATCAGCTCTCCAGCCCTACGTCCCCCATTCTGTGGTTGCCAGCGCACTATCAATTCCTTCTTCTTCTGGTAACAATTACATTTCTCCTGGAGAAGCCCCTTCCCCAACTGTCAATCCATGTGACTCCAGAGAAGATGGCTTTTCCACCAGTTGCAGTGATGGGCATGTGACCCAGGCTGGACCAATCAGAGCATTATAGAGAGCCCTTTTACTACAGCACTTCAGCAATGGACATGTGACCTAATGATAACCAATGAGATTCAATTCTGGGACTTGGATCAGAATCTTCAAGTTGATTGAATCTATCTGCTGAGGGTGGGATGTAACTGTGGCACTGCTGACAGCCATCTTCCCACTGCAAGGAGAGACACTGAGAAGAGACATGGGGGGAAACAGAGCTGGCAAATGAAGACAATGAAACTAAGTCCCAGTGGGGCTGTTTGAGTCTCTTGACCCAGCCTTGCTTCAGTTTTCAATCACAAGAGCCAACAAAATTCTCTCTATGCTAAAGTCAGGATGAGTAGGTTTCTGTCACTTGCAACTGCAAGACTCCTGATGACTCAGTTTGCTACCTCTGGCCCCCATTGTCTGTCCTTGCATAGAATGTGCTGCCACTCTCTGTGTAGATGACTCCCAAATCTCCATCTCCTCCAACCCCTATTCCCACTCTGCATTTCTGGTTTTCCAGCTACCCAGAAGTCCCACCAGCACCAGTGAAGTCATGTCCCAGCTCCCACCTGTTCCAAGTTCTGTGATCTCTCCATGTGCTCTTGGCCTTTGTACCCTTCTATGTCCAGGGGTTCCCAAACTTTTCTGCATCATGGACCCCAAACCCACAAAATTAACATCCAATTTCTAGAGGGTTCCTTTAGGAATTTCTGTTTTAATCCATTTCACACAACAAAATTCATTTTTCCTGATTTCAACTCTGATTAAATCACTCCCTGCTCAAAATCCCAGTGTCTTTCCCCTTTGTCTTCAAAATAAAATTCAAAGTCCTTTAGCCAGGCATTCTGCCCCCTCTCCCCCATGATCTGGCACCAACTTATCTTTCCAACCTCATTTCCCTTTCCCTTCTATTATACACTTTATTTTTTTATTTAAGTTTTTAAACTTTTTATTGTGATTTCAGTACAATTTTACAAAGTAGATTTGTTTTACATTCAACAGCTCATATACATTTTGTTTTGTGGCACTGATTATAATCCCTACAATTTAACAGCTCTCCTCCCAGTGGTGACCCCTTCCCTATGTCCTTCTTCCCTAAGCATTCCTGCCTGCCCAGCTTTCTCCTTGTGTAAATGCTGCTCCTCTGATCCCCCAAGGTTGACTGTTCTAAAGAGTGCATCTCCCTGAGATAGTTGTTCAGCTTGTAGGCCTGTCTACTGTTTGGCTGAAAATTGAGCCATGGGAGTGAGTCCTGAATGGTGACTGGGGGCCACAGTCT